TTTTATAATTATCCTTTTCCCTCTAGTTCTTATGTTACCAATCCAAGTTATATGTTTCCTTCTATGAAGCACTTTGATGTATTGGCTCTTCTGTGATCACTTTATCATAATGAGAATAATGGACTTCTGTAGGTTGTTGAAGATGTCCTCATCAAGCTGTTTGATATCAAGCGCGAAGAAGCCTTACAATTGGCCTAAACAAGATTGGAGCTCCAAGATAATAGGAGTGCTGCAATTTGTTTTTTTTTTAAAAATGTAGGATATGCTGTATGTGCTAGCTCAACTATGCTAAATAACATGTTCTTGTAGATGTATAACTCAAGTTTTTTAATATTAATATGCCGCTGTCCAGCTCTCTGTAGTGATGTAAACCTTGCCAGAATCAATGTCAATTTGCCGGTGAGTCCCTTTTTAGATACAGTAATATGAACTTCTTAGAATGAGAAGACTACTAGTCGATATAATTTTGATGACTGCCTGTTTTCGTATACAAAATTTGACTTGGAGTTTTGAAATTTCTCTCCAATTTTTTTTTAATACAAATGACGCAAAGTCGTGTTAGTAATTTATGCCTAATTCATAAATATTTTGAGAGAAGATATTTTCGTTAGTCATCCCATAAGAAAAATGAAATAATCACCTGTTTGGACCAAGAGCCATTTGAAACACATATTCATTTGATCAAAGTCTAATCCAAAAGTTTATTGTATACCTAGCCAAAAAAATGGAGAAAAAGAGAGTTGAAAAAGACACCTTCCTCCATTTTTTTGTGGGAAAAGAATCTTAAGTATACTTTTGTTAACTTGAAAAGTCTGCTGACTTGTCCTAAAATTGAGTATTAATGGTTTTATATCATATATTAAAATAAAATAAAATAAAATGCCACGTCATCACGAATCTTGCTGAGTCTGTGTTGGTCCACCCCATGTCTTCACTCTTATCTCAGCTTGAACTGCCTGCAATTATGTGATTTCTTAGTTTTACACTATCAATGCAGTTACATTGTCCCTTCAGATAGCTATTATTACAGTAAACTCGATGTTAATTACCTCTTTCTGCCAATTGGTTCGACCAATAATGACAAGTATGATGATTGTTTGAAGCAAGCTTCCACCAAGCATTGCATACCATACCCCTTGTACACCAAGTTTAAACTTGTACCCAAGAAGTGCTCCTAATGGCAAACCCAAACCATAATAACATCCAAAGTTTACAAAGGCCACTAGAAATTGCCATCCTGCACCAATTGCTACCCCTACAAAATGATTTCAATATCTGACTTTACTGTTGTAGTTGGTAAATTTAATGTGAGGTAAAAAAATACATACCATGGAGAACAGTTTGGATGCTGTTAATGAAGATGGTTAATGCAAGAATATAGCCCAACTTGGATGTTTCACTTATAACCTTTGGCTCATTTGAGAACATTCTTGGAAACTGTCTTCTTGTGGTCAATATGATAACTGAAAAAAGAACTCCAAATATTGTTGCTATCAAGACATTGACTCCAATTGTGAATTTTGCACCTTTTGGATTTCCTGCCCCTAGTTCATTTGAAACTCTCACACTGGTATGTGAAACATAATATATTTAGCCAAATTACTAATATCAATTTTTATAAGATAAAAGATGCTTGTTTGAAACTGCTAACCTGGCTGATATAGTGAAACCAAAGATAAACATAAGTGCCCATACTTGCAAATTGATGCTGCAATATCCAAAAAAAAAGTACTAAGGATTCAGAATGCTTAAAACAAGGGGGGTTGCAAATGGGGAAATCGGGAATTGAACCTGAAAGTGAATGAATGAAATTACGGAATATATTTTACCAGATTGATAGTGAGTCAACAGCAACTTCAGCATCCTTCAAGCCTCCTACAACTAAGATCACTCCTGTGAAGTACCATACCTCTAAACTGCCATCATTAGATTCATTCGTCAGGGAAAAAAAATTTGATTCAGAGTATGTAACACACTCTCAGATGTACTGAAACTGAATTTGTCTATGTTGCTCGGACTCTTCATAAATGTGAATAAGTGCTCGTCGAGTCCTTCAAAAATGTATGGGTGCAGCATTTTTGGAGAGTCCGAGCAACATATGAATTTGTAGTCATTCACCACACTTACCATAACATTATAGCTGAGGAAACTGAGAGCCTCAAGAATTTGGTTAATGACTTAAAAGCCAAAAATGAAAAACCAGTCCATGCCTCAGGAAACCAACCACAAACAATATAAATAATCTTCGCCACAACCAAAATCCAAAAAGATATATTCCCAGCTATTGCAGCACCAACAAGTCCCATACTCAACTTTGTCACAAAAATCCAATTCAACAACACATGAATTGCCAATGTCAACATTGAACTAAAAGCCATAAACCAGACTTTGCTCTGAGCTTGAAGGAACTTCTCTGTAGGATAGTGCAATGCACTTGCAAATATTTGAGGAATTATCCAAATTGCAAATTTACCACATAGATAAGATATTTCTGGATCTTGATGTAGGAGCTTCAGTATTTGAGACGCGAAGAAAAAAGTCGGTGTCAATAGCAATGCTGCCACTATACTGATAATCCATGATCTTTGTAAGTAAATTCCAAGCATGTTGTATTCCCCTGCACCAACTGCTTGACCACAAAGCGTCTCCAGTGCACTTCCTAATCCTAACTAATAATATCATAGAATTCAACACGAAATTTGAATCAATCAGTTGTGTGAGAGTTCAATTGAATTCATTGTTTTGAGGTCGAACATACCATTATTCCAATTACAAAGCATAGTAGAACATTTTGAACTTCAGAGACTGCAGCAAGCTCAAGTTTTCCAAGTTGGCCAGCAAAGGCCGCAGTTACACAGTCCAAAGAGAATACAGAAACTGAAGTTATAATTGCTGGTCCTGCTATGTGCCATACTTTTTTGAATTCATCTATCCATTTCTTTGCTATTTGTTTTCTATAACCAAAGTACATTGCTTTCTTCCATAATTTCATACCTGATGCTCTTGCAACCCTTCAATGTACCATACAAAATTAGTAGTGTTTTTGCTCCAACTATGTATATATTATGCAAAAATTATTCAGATGTATACGTACAATATAATCACATACATTCAAAATTCACTAACTCTAGATTCTGGATTCGCCTTAGCTTTTAATCGGTTCCTCCATTTTATCAAATTTTTTTTTTTTTTTTTTAAAAGGGGATAATATGTGGATGTCAAAGTTATTCTTAAATACAGAGTTGTGTGTACGTTTCTACCGCAGATATATTAAGTAATTTGACATCTATCTCCGCAACAACTAAATTAATTAGTATTTGTCGTCCCTTACTTTACTTTTTTGTTTGTTTCAAAGAGAGTGTTTTTTTTTTCTTTCAAATTTTTATTAAGTTTTTCAATTGCAACATTTTACCTACCAAGTTTATAACCACAAGACTTAATGACTACACACATCTTTAATTTACAATCACATAATTTAAAAATATTTCTTTATTTCTTAAATTTTCTGTTTAGTCAAACTAAAATACTTGAAATTGGAACGGAGTGAGTACTGCAAATTGATCTGTCAAATATTTAAATTGTCCATGATTTTATGTAGGCAGATCTATCTTTTTCTCTACAGAAGTTTTAATAGTCTTTTTTCCAAAGAAATATATTCCTTAAAATAGGAAAATATTTGGTCAGGTTTGTTTACTTCTATGTTCTTATTCTCTTATTAATTTCCTTTCATAAAAAAATAAAAAAGGAAACAAATCTTTATTTACTTCTAGATGTGTAGATTCAGTTCTATCTAAGCAATGACTCATATCATCTCTCTATCAAACTACTCGATCCGTTTCAATTTATTTGTTTAATTTTAATTTGAAACAGAGTTTAAAAAGTAACACGACTTTTTATTGGGGAAAACTTTGTACTCTAACATCCTATGAGAAAATAATACAATAATAAAAAGTACTGCAGTGAGGGGAATCCAGCAATGTTACTAGGGAAAACTTTATAACATCAGATCTCAACTCAGTAAAAAAATAATTCAAACTGTCAAAAGTATATTTAACAAACAAAACACTATTTAAAATTATCAACAAAGAGCAAAAGATTGCATTTAAAATTTTAATAAAAGCTTTGAAATAGCAGGTATCTGACCTTATAATTTGTTGAAAGGGCAAGTAACTCTGTTCATCAATTAAAATAAATAAATCTTAGTGGTAGTTTACTTCTTGAATGATGTTATATATAGCCCTAACATAAATAAAGGGCAAATAATACTAATCGACAAGGATTTATATAGTCTTTGACTAGATTACCAGCATTTTGAATTTTGTAAATTCTCATAAATGCTAGTAGATCACATATTAATGTCTATACCATTCCTATAATTTGTATTTTCATTTTCTTAACTTTGGCTTTTCAAATTCTAGGACTTTTAAATTAGTAACCGATAAATACATAGGTTAATTTTATTTAATCTACCCTTTCTTTTCCCTTAAAAGAAAAATTTGCATGAACTCAAAGAAAATGATAGATGGAGAAGCATCTAGAGTTGATAGATATCGGGATTGAATAATCATCATATTTGACTCATCTTCAACCTTCATGGAATGATATATAAAGACCACTATCTCTATATGTAGAGATTAAGAGTTCTAAATTTCTTCTTTTTAAAAAAGAGTTTGGGGTTTCGAACCCACAACTCTAGCATGAAAAATAGTACTCTCCTTACCACTAGCATGGAAGATATTTCCTTACCACTGAATCATCTATCAATTTTATTAGAAGTACACAAATTAATATACATATATATTTATTTAATTTTCTAGTACAAATACAAGAACTACAGAAAATAAAAGCTACTGATTCTTCCAACCCACGAACCCCCATCTAGCCTCCCCTTTGGCAGCAGCAAACACAATTTATTTAGGAAGTAGCAGAGTTCAATTCTTTACATCTTTATCGCGTTTGGTAAACACCAAAAATTGTAAGTACGAAAATATAAGACTTGCGCAATCAGGTCCATTGTGACCAAATTTTTGTTGCAGTCCTAAACAATTCTAATGCAAAATTTTCCAGTTTTACTATACTATATACCTATCCGATTCTTTTATGATCTACTTTGTTTATTGCAGAGGCGAGGTATTACGCGAACCAATGTGCTCAATCTCATCTTGAGAAGGCTGATCGCCATATGTTCTGATGCGTTCTTCAGCATGAATTGCCTGCATCAGATAAAGTATACATTCACATTCCCGAAATAAATTGTGGATCAAATTTCAGAATTGTAAACTTTCAAACCTCTTTTCGCCAATTAGCTTTCCACATTTTGAACGTCAAAACTATTGTTTGAAGCAGGGTACCAACGAGCATTCCTGTCCAAATTCCCTTAACACCAGTATTGGCAATGTAACCAAGACAAGCACCTAATGGAAGCCCAACCATATAGTAGCAAACGATGTTTATAATCGCGACTGAATATTGCCATCCAGCACCAACTGCTACCCCTGCACTTGCACAAGATATGTTCGTTCAAATAACTTAGCACTACGACTGTCTTTAGTATCGTTTTTTTCCAACATTTGGGATGAATTTTGATTACCATGAAGTATAGGTTGGATGCTCATTAGAAAGATAGTAGCAGCTAAGAAGTATGCCAACTTAGATGTCTCATGTATGACTTCAGGTTTATCAGAAAACAATCTCGGGTAATAGTTCTTAGTAGCAATTACAGCAACTGTAAATACAACTCCGACTAGAGTTGATGTAATTACAGCAACTAGTACTGAGAACTTTGCAGCTTTTGGACGACCAGCTCCTAGCTCATTGGAAACACGAACACTGCAACCATGGAATTTGAAGTGTCAAAGAGGAATATTTGACGTGAAATAGATAACACAAAAATGTGATTTTTGTAAACCTGATTGCAGCATTGAAACCTAGAGTGATCATTAGTACCCAAAGTTGCAACGCCAAGCTGTGAAAAAACATGAGAAAAGAGTAAGAACAACGCGTGCCTAGAAAAAACTAATCAAATTCTATTAAAATTCAAAAGTTTAGTACCTGGTTGATATAGCATCTACTGCTATTTCCGGATTCTTTAACCAGCCAACCATGAGGATCACCACAGTAAAATACCAAAGCTCCAGACTGCCAATGTTTCACAAGTCAAATATATCATCGAATCATCATAACAATCATATAAGGATAAAGAGAATGCTTAAAAACAGACCTATACTATCTTTTTTTTTTTCGCGAGCACCTATAACTATCAATCTGAACTATTTGAGGTGTGAAACTCACGCATAGTGACAGTTCAGACGTGTTTTTGACCATAACTCAAGAATAAAAAGTACTTGTATGACTAAAAATCAATAGAACTTACCATAACATGACAGCTGATGCAAGTGATAATTTAACAAAACTCCAGAGAGATTTGAAAGCTAACATAGAAAATCCAGTCCATGATTCAGGAAAAAACCCAGCAATAACATAGAAAATCTGAGTTAAAACCACGAGCCACCACGAGACGTTCCCTGCCATAGCAGCACCAAAAAGTCCATGTCCGAGCTTTGTCACCAGCACCCAATTCAATACAATATGAAATACCAATATGACAATATTGATTACTGTCATAACCCATATTTTGCTTTGAGCTTGTAAGAACTTCTGAACAGGAAAGTTCAACGCGTAAGCATAGAGTTGAGGAATCACCCAAATCGCGTACTTCCCTGCAACTTCTGAAATTTCCTTGTCCTGATGTAGTAGCTTCAATATTTCTGATGTGAATACATAAAAAGGTGTCAATAACAACGCTGTCGCTAGAGTAATCACACATGATCTTTGTAGATTTATGCCAAGCATATCAAATTGCCCTGCTCCAACAGCTTGTCCACAAAGTGTCTCAAGAGCACTTCCCATCCCTAACTAATACAACACACACAAAGAACAAAGAAAACATTCAATCCATATGAACACAAAATTAAGTAACTAATTAAAAGTGTGTTCTCTCTAACAGCTTATAGTAGCACAATCTAACAAACACATTGCAATTACGTACCATAATTCCAAAAACAAAACCTTCAACAACATTCTGAACAACAGAGATGGCTGCTAGCTCTAGAGAACCAAGATGTCCAACGAATGCAATGCTAACAAATCCAATGGAGAACTGAGAAACCGCGGTGATAATGGCAGGAGCAGCTATTTCCCATAACTTCTTGGATTCATTCAAGCTCTTTTTACTCATCTTCTTAGCATCATCACAATCATCACCTTCAAATCTCCTTTCCATTTCAAAACTCCCCAATGGTTCTACTGCCATTGTAACAAAATCCCCTGTTTTCTTCCTCTGTTTTTTTTTCCTAATTACATGTTATCTTGTTAGTTAAATTCAACTATATTTTATATATAAAAGTTGGTAGCTACGGACTACGTGCATACAATAAAAAGTCACTAATAATAGACTACAAGAATAAAACACTGACCTTTTTTTTTTTTTTTTTTCACTTTGTTGTGTGGAAAATAAATTCACCACAAGTAAATATCGAGGTCTTGTCACAATAAATATTGTTATTCACGATATGTTTAGATACGAAAATAGATTAATTGAGATGTCAGTTATATATACTCTTTCTAGAAAAGATTTTAGCTACTAGTGTTCTTCTTTTAGTTTCTAAATTATTCAACTATTTATAGACATGAATACTTTGACCATAAAGAAAAAATATTTTTTTTTTGTGCTTAGAAAACATTACAGTATGTGAAAACCATTTTTAATTTTTACTTTTGCTTTTATAATGGCAACCTTTTCAAACTATATAGGTGTGAATAAAACACAGTTGCAAAAATAGTAGTGTAATATTATTAATGATAAGGTGGGAGGTTAATTATTTATGAAATTAGGAACTAATTACGTAGTTGAAAAATGAGAAAAAATTTAATTAATTATTAGATCATACATGATGGAAAAATAAATATATCAAAAATTTGGTGAAAGGCATAGTTGACTTTCAATACAACTCAACCACTTTGTTCGTATTTCTGTTATCATTTCTCTATCCTTCTATTTTCATATATATCATAAAATAGTAGCACTATTAACAATTTAGCATAGACATATTACACATATACATGTATAACAAATGTATTCAAATCTAATCGAATATTGAATTTGTACCATACAACTGGATGTACTAATTATTAAAAACATATATATAGAGAGAGAGCTAGTAATATTTTTTCGATCATATTATTGTAATACTCGTTCGGTTGATCTATCAATGTATTGAGTATTGACTATTATGAATGAACATTGAATATGATTCTTTCCCTTTCTTGTATATATAAAGAAAAATGTGCAACTAAAACAAAACATATATATGATTATTATGGAATTTTAAAGAAAAACTTCATAATAGCATAAAGAAGTCGATAAACACTTTTTTTTTTTGTTTTCGTGTCTGGAGCTCACATTGGAGCTCCAACTAATTAATTCGGATCGCACTCTGCAGGGTCCATTCGGGGGTGGCGCTCCCAACAAGATATTCTCCATATCTAGGGCTCGAACCCGAGACCTCTAGTTAAGGATGAAACACTTCCACCAGTGCACCACAACCCATGTTGATCGATAGACACTTATTACTATGTATGTTTACTTTAATTTTCTTAATAACGAGCAAAATCCTTTCAAGTAAAATCTTCATTACTGGATTGTTGGTACTTGGGAAGCGGACCAATTGGACCAACTATCTCTAGGGTTTTTTTGCCTCAAAGTGTTACTCCTTTTTGTTAACTTTTAATTGTCATGGTGTATTTTTTGAAAGTTAATTTGATTAATTTTAAAGTTAAATTAGATTACATTAATTCGATATTTTTAACAAATAAATATATATTCAAAAATTATACGAAAAATACTATAAATTTTAATTTTTTGTCTATCGATGAAATAATATATCGTAAAATGTTAGTATCCTTTGACTCTAAAAAAGAAACTATGATAATTAAAAGTGGACGGAGATAGTACTTCCTAAAAGGCGCTTTGTTCCATTATTGACCCTATCTATGTTTCGATGGCCTAACAACAAACTCCTTCTTCAAATATAGAGAAACTTTTGATTTGCGAGCTTATTTTTATTATTTGATACAAAGTATTTCTAAAGTAACACTTTTAATTTGGATGATGTAAAAGCGTAAATAGTTGGTGTCATGCAAGTTAGTTGTACAACATAAAATCTTTGTAGAAGTTCAACTCTTACCAAACTCTATAATACTTTGACTCTATCTTATACTTATCATATAATATAATATAATATTTGATAATGATATGATATCCATCTCGTAATTAGACAGCAAGAACTAACTACACACATATTCATCTTACCAACCTCTTAATTTTGAAATTATCATTATCGTTTTCATACGTGGTACTCATATATTAATTTAATTAATTACTACTACCTATATTTTCCCACTGAAGTCTAAGAACCAAGTCATTACGAAAACTACTTTTTTGGTCACGTAACAACTTTTAAGAAATATAATTTGATCAAATGTGTTGTCATTTTCTCTTTCACTGAAATCGAATGACACAAAAGTCAGGAAGGAAGCTATAAGAGGAAAAGTCGGTTATCCAATTAAACTTCTTTTAAGGATAATTTTTTGGTATTCTCACATTATAAACGTCATTTTAGTTTGTTTTTTTTTTAAAAAAAAAACATAATTATACTATTTTAGAAATTTGAATTGATTTTTTTGTTTTCAACTATATTCATAATGTTAAAGAATAATATATCGTATTTAAGAAGAAACAATAGGGGAGAAAAAAGGTAAAATGATGCACCGTAATTTTTCATCAGGTAAAATATGTGGTGGTATCTCTCATCAACATAAGTGAACTATTTTATTGGGTATCGTCAAACCTCGTTTTAATGTTAGCATTCTCCGCAACTGATTTTCATATTATATTTACTTTTTACTAACAATATTCTACTTATATATCATCGACATTTATTATATATAACAATATATTTTTTTTGTAAAACTATTCCTCCATAACAAGCATACTCAATTATTGTGTAATGATATTTTGTAAGAAATATATTATATATAAAAATAAAATATTAAAATGTATATAGCAAGTCATTCACAAAGTAAATTTCAAGTATAACTATTTAAAAAGAAGAAATTGTATTTAAATGATGTCTATCGATTATGGTCATAACTCATAACTGATGTTTACCTTTTTACATTCATACTCTTTCAATTTTTTAGGTTAAATTGGTTTAAAATGCATTTGTTCTTCTCCATACACTAAATCATTAAATTATTTTTTTGTGTACTTTTGCTTATAACAACTAGATGAAATCTAAATGTCAAATATCAGTATACATATATAATAACACTTCACAATAACATTCATAATATTTACAACCAAACCCTATCATTGTAACAAAGTTTGACGGTACATAACCAAAAAAATAATCCAATATTTTTCTTTTGTCTCCATTAGAATTTAACTATGATATTTGTGATTTACACTTTTTTTCATCCGCTATTAGACCACACTCTTAATTACCACGATAATTTAATACAAATCAAAATACCATGTTACAGAATTCAAATTGTGTACCCTCGTGAAAAAAATTGTCCATAGTACCACAAAAAGATAACTTTTCGTCCAATTGAGTCTTCATCATTGTTTATTATTAAAGCCGATTGGTTGTATTATCACAAGCCAACTAGTTTTGCGTTAATTGTCAACTTTTTACTCTATCCTTTTTAAAAAAAATTATTTGTATATAACCATATGACATTACTTATTGATCTAATTAATTTAGATTCACACCGTGTAAGACCTATTAAACGCGAAAACGCTCTTTTGGGGTATAAAAGACAGAAAAAGAAAGAAATGATCATTAAATGGCCAAAGCTCAGCCATAATATATGTAGATAGGAAATCTTAAAAGGTTTGGTATTTAGCAAACCTGGTTGTTATTTGTCAAAGCTAGCTATACGAAACAAATTTGTGTTCAAATTCTTTACACATCTTATGAACAAACAAGTCCCACCAAACTCTGTCGACTAACAGTAATCAAAACCCCACCAACACAAGTTGTTACACAACCCTCATTTATTAAAATGTTACTGGGAAATAATTATCAAGAAACAACACTATACTAGAGGAAATTATGGTGTATTATATTTTTAAAGTTATGCTTTGCGATGTAAGTTGTAAATTCTTACAAATAAATTTATGCTCCACATTCAAAATACTGGATTCAGATGAACCTGATAACCAGAGGCACAACCAATGTTTGAACCTTCAAGAGTTCTAGATTCTAATCTTTTTAAGTTATCGATTTTAAACTAACACTCTCTCTCCACCCCTGCTGCTAACATTAAGCTGCATCCGAAAATGTTTATGCTACCACATAACCACAAATATCGTCCGCAAAAAGTGGAATTAATAAACCGGAAAATAAGACAGGTTACCTAAAATGTTTTTTTATGAACAACTACTATTTACATGTAGATATACAACTCTTTCTAGCTATAAACAGAAACATAACATTTTTTGTGATGTAAAAGAGTCAAAATCTATCCTCAAGAATCTTTTTTACCTATCATACATACTAATTTATACACCTGTAGTATCTCTACCTATCAGCCCCCCACAACAAGGGACAGCTAATTACATTACAAAGTCAGTAACTTGATCTATAACTTGTCCTACACATGTCTTTATCAAATCAAGATTTTGTGATCAACTTTTTTTGACTTGTGCATTCTCATTTTTGTACTAACTTCATATCAAAATCTTTCTTGTTCCAAATTCCAACTTGCATTCTGATGCCAATGAAACTATCAAATTCCTCTGTACAAGATGATTCAAATACCTCAGGGACTTGATCAAGTGAGCGATCCACTGTGTCCAAGGACTCTCCCTTGTCTCGGTTAGTCTTACCACGAACTGCCTCAGTTATTCCATCTTGAAAGACCGAGATCTATCGAAAAGATTCATACAAATCAAAACTATTCAGAAGTTGAATTTACTAGGTCAAAGTTGTAGTCTAAATGGGACAAAGTTTCACCTGTGCATGTGACAAATAACTAATGCAAGTTGAAAGCATTAAAGAACCAAGATTAGCATAGACAATTGCTTCTGAATCAGTCTGTAGGCAAACATAGTACACACTAAATAACCAATGCAAACATAACATAAAAAATAAAAATTATTTGAATCTTGCTACTTCAAATGAGGATTTATTATTTTTGTACCTTTAGGTCTGAGTCACGACTACCAATCGCATCTGCAATAACAGTTTTTGATCTGTCAATCTCAATTGGGAGTTTGGA